GAAAATAAATTACGGTTTATTACTGTAAATTTTAAGTTAAGTCTGTAAAACCATTAACGTTCCTACAGTATTTTTAACTGTAAAGTTCTGGCAACCACAGCTGCCGTTTTTTTTTTTTTTTCTTTATTTTTTACAGTGCACGACCCAACAGCAGAATGATAAAAAATAATAAGAAAACAGCAGAATGATGAATGTGAACCGCCAAGATGAAAAGTTGGGGCGTTCTTGCATTCATAAAAGCTGGATGCAATGCAAAAGATATTTTCTTAGTCAGCATTTTTGTCTTGTTATCCAGTACAAATGTCTAATATTAATTGTTTTCCTGCTTATTTTTATGACCCCGTTGGCTGTTAACATAAATCTGACATAAAATAAAATTTTGTAAGCCTTGTTTTTCCAAGTGAATTAATGTTTTATGGATGTTTTTATATCATTGCTGCAAACCAAAACAATGTTTTTTTCTAAGCAAATGTTTTACATTTTTTTGAATTAAAAGAATTATTTTTTAAAATATTTTTAGAAATAGTTACACCTGCATAACATAAATGCCGAAAACCGCTAAAATAGTACATTGAGTATTATATGAAAGTATGTTGCCGTACTTTTAAACCTGATGCCTTGAGAAGACACACAAGATGACTAGGTGGTTGAAAGGGAGGCCGCAAAAACACAGTTCATCACGTAAAAACCTCTTAATCCAAATCATCTTTACTGCAGCGCATGTCGAAGACGCTTAATAATTCTTATAAAACCCGATTACATCGTCTCTTTCTGGTGGGGAACAGCATTTTTGCGCAAACAACTCAACTAGATAACCATAACCATCCATTAGGGTCCGACGGACTCTGGGAAACGTTAGATTTACGGCAGATCTTGCCCCTGCGAGAACGTTTAATAACTGCACTTTAATAAGTTTCTGTTCTGGACAATAACAGTAAACCGTAAATAACGTCAGATCAACAGATAGGGCCGTGGATGTGCGCTGGGAGGGGGAGAGATGAGGCCGGCGAGCACTAAATAATTATCCTGCGCTTGGCCGGCGCGTGTATTTATGTTGGCGTGGACGTAAAACTAGAGTAGGGTTAATGGGTGAACAGAACCGCCCTCCAACCTCACACCGCGAGTGGCAGCATCAGCAGTCCGTGTGTGTGTGTGTGTCAATCTCTGTCTGATGAACGTGATGCTCTGGGAGGTTCTTCCATCAGAAACATCTGAAAATATCAGATGAGTTTCTTTTCACTTTAATATTTTACTTTTATATATAAACTGATTGTTTCCTGTTTTTATTTTCATTAGTATCTACATTTTTCTGAAGTTATTCATTTAAATACATTTTTATATAAGTTTTATATATATATATATATATATATATTAAAAGGCAGTATAAATCAATTTTTATTTTTGTTTGAATCTCAATTCTTTTAATTTATTTGTTTAAATAGATTTATTTGTATTTAATTTATTTATTTTTTAATATATACATTTTTATTTTTGCTTGCTGTTTTTTCCACCCTGAATGGATCATAAAAAAATCTAAATATATTTTCTATTTAATATCAACTCCATTTTTTCTGAAAAAATATTTTTTTTAATGTATTATTTATATACCTTTAAAATATATAAATCAATTTATTTTTGTTTGTTTTTCCCACCTTGTATGTTTCCTGTATTTATTTATTGAAATACATTGGTTTTAATTTATTATTTACAGTTTTTTTTTTTATTTGTCATTGTTTTTTACACCCTGTATCTAGCATAGAATTTTCCCCCCATATTATTTTGGGCATAAATATATGTATTTTATAAAAAATAAAAATCATAATAAATGTCTCTAAAACATTGTAGGCTTTTCCCAAATAATCGTCATGCATCTTTATATCTATATGAGCATCGCAGTGTTTGCATTGCCACATGTTGTTAACACCACACTGTATTGAATCAAGTTTCATTATCACAACACAAGTATGCACTATTTTTGAAATGCACATCTAAAACATCCATTTGTGAGTCGTCTGTAGAAAATACCCTTATCTGACGTTCCCATAAAGCTATAAAAGCATTAACTTGTTCTCTGAATGTTCAAAACGACCATTTCTTATTATGAATTCAAAACGTTTTTTCTCGGTTATGAGAAGGTTATGGGAACATTCCATTTTGCAAATGTTTCCGGAATATTCCTTTTGAATATTCTCTGAACATTCCGAAACAAGTCGTAACATTTAAAAAATATAGTTAGGGGAACGTCCAAAAAACCTATAGATAACGTTTTTGTTCAAAAGGTTTGAGAACATTATTAAAGACTAGATGACTTTGAACGAACGCTCTATTAATGCAACTGGAAGAATGTTTGCTCATAATAACTTTGCCAGAACATTCCCTGTTAATGGTTTGCTGTAAGAGTCCAGCATCTGCTCATATAACTCATATTCATGTTTCTCAGTATAAAGAATGACATTTTCTCAGCTTTAAATGCACACGCAAACACGTCTTTGAAGAGAAATCTGTTTTAAGTCTGACCACCGGCTTCTGATTTGTACTGTTTGTAAAGCTGTTTGCACACAAATAGTTACCATGGGTTTACAGCGCAATAATTTACAGCGCAATACTCGACTGTTGTTTGACTTACAGGCGCTTTGTTTTCAAACAACAGGGCGCCATTATAAGCCGACTTCAAACACGGATAGTCGTGTCCAAACATCTCCTCATTAAAGCTGGAAACACACAAGGCCGTGCGTCTCGACTCATTCAGGCCCACGAATGCCACGATCCCAATGTCATTGATAAAACATCAATGTGTGGCGCAGCTGAGACCACAAAACTCGATACTTCATAGACAAAATCCCCAGACATTTGGAACATATTTGCATTTTCAACATCTTGGTTAGCTCGCACAGCACGCAAGCTGTTGTCGAGACAAAAAATAGAAGAAGGAAAAAAAAAACAAGAGAAGATTTTTGGCAAATGGGAAGGAACATCATTTCGTAAAGAATTTAAAGATGCGGATTTGTTACAGATGGAGACGCCCGGGATGGTTGGACGTTTTTCTTCTCCTTCAATGTGCATCTGTGGGTTTTTTTCCACCTGTTTTAGCATCTTGCAGGTTAAACTTTGAAGACTTAATGTTTGGGGGTTGATCAAAGATGAACAAAACCCAAACTACCCTGAAGATGTAGGTAAGTACCGTCATAAAACTAAAATAATCTCCCACAATTGCCTTTGATAGATCATTGACCTTTCACCGAGAGTCCTGTCATTTGCCCTGCAAGCTGATAAAAAGCAGAGTATAATTATAATTTCTTATAATTATCTTTTCTGTTTCACTGGTCCAAAGTAAACTCTGAGTCTGATATTTCGGTGCTTTATGGAGTCTCATTGTCATAAAATCCATGAATAGATGAATGCATTAGGGGAAGACACATACTGGGTCCCGCAGCAGCTGTAAAACACATTTTTAGCCAGAAGCAGCTGCTCGCCACAACTTCACATTTACACACCCAGCTAACAGGGAACGTTCTGGATATGTTCTCTCAAAGTTACGGACAAACGGTCTTCCAGTATTGTTAAAGGGATAGTTCAACTAAAAATGTATTTTATCCCCTAGGTGTATATCACTTTCTTCTTTCAGCCGAACACAATCTGAGTTATATTTAAAAAAAAAAAAAAATCCTGGCTCTTCCAAGCTTTATAATGGGAGTGAATGGGGCCCAAAAAGTGCCTCCATCCATCATAAAAATAATCCACATGACTCTAGGGGTTAATAATACACACTAAACACCGAACAGAACACACTATTAAAGGGTTGATTCACCCAAAAATGAAAATGATCCTGTAATTTACTCAACGTTGAACCTTAGGTGTTTTTGACTTACTTCTTTTAGTCAAACACAATATGAGTTGCATTGAAAAATATCCTGGCTTTTCCAAGTTTTATAATGGGAGTGAATGGGGCCCAAAAAAGTGCATCCATCCATCCATCCATCATAAAAGTAATCCATATGACTCCAGGGGTTAATAAAGGCCTTCTGAAGCAAAGCCATGTGTCTTTGTAATGAAAATATACATAACTTTATAAACTATAATCACTGGCTTCCGGTAACAGCCGTACGCGAGTCGGGTTCCGGCGGAAGGGTGATCTATGTTTATATATCTATAAATGTGGTTATCTGTCTTTATTAATGTTCTCAAACATTAGCACAAACACATTATTTATAAATTGTTCATGAAACATATAGTTTGGTAATCTATGTTTTATAATGTTCAGAACATTCAAAAGTAATGTTTGCAAAATGATCAAATGAAACGTTCACGTTCCATTATAACGTTCGCCTAGCAAAAAAAAAAAAAAAAAAAACTCTTTGAAAACTTTCAGAAACCTAATTGAAACGTTAGCCAAATGTCATTAGAACATGTTTGTTAACTGGGCGGGTCCTTTATATTTAAAGGAATTAAATACTTATAGTTGTAAACATGCTTAATATGCCAAAACTCTCAGTTATCAATTAACGTTACATGAATCACGTCGTAGATGGTAGTCTACGGTGAAATTTGACGAAGTCAAGAAGTTTCTGTTGGACGTTTAACATTTCTATCTTAAAACAGCAGTTAAATGTTTAGTTATTTACATCTTATTCTTACCTCACACATGCTTAAAACGTTAAAAATGAAGCGAATTCTTGTTTGCCTTCTGCGTGTGAAGCCCCGGCCGCCTTCTTTGATTTGATTGGCCACTTCCAACATTTTTACGTTGATGAGCGGTAAAATTGAATTTTAAACGTTTCGTCATTCTAACGGCACAGCAGCGCAGCATCAAGAATATTGTGAAATATCAGGTAGGCCTATGACTTTCAAAATCGAAATTCTGATATAAAATATCAAAATTTATCTATTTTTAAAAATGTATGTGGAAATAATCAACAACATAGCTACTGATAAACATAAAATGGTAATTTTTCAGTATTTATTCTCTGACAATGAAATGTCCCTCATTCATCCCTAATAAAGTTTTTTCAAAAGTGCCTGTTTCCCAAGCAGATGTCAATGAAGAGCTTGAGGTGACAAATGTGACTTACACAAAGAAACATCAAGGTAAGTCACGTTAGTTTTTGCAAAATTATAAAAAACAAGTGTAAAATAAATAGTTTATCTAAAATAATAGCTATGAGGTTAGCATTAGCATGACAGGAGTTGGCCATTTTGTAGACGAGAAATGTCAACAAACATGATTAGAAATTATGAATCAGAATTGAAAAAATGACAAAAAGGGAGTATGGAAAGTGTGTTTTAATGCAGTTTGTTTTCTAAAAGTCCACAAAAGTGCCTTAGAAGAAATATACATACTGAGGCCCAGCTTGGCTGTGTCTTGGGCTGAATAATATCATAAAGTATCTGATTTGGAACTTATTTCAAGTCAGTTTTCTGAGACGCCATTGAAACAGAGGCCTGGAGTGATGTTTCTTTAATCTGATCCAGGATGAGTAAATTAGTGACATCTGTCAGACGGTGGGGAATGAGAAGTTGTGTTAGCATCTGACAGATACATCAAGTCAGACGTAGCCACACACACACACACACACAGCAATCTCTGAACCCACAATGAGACATGACTGAAACCCAGCAAGCATCTGTTCTGATGACAGGACCAGAGAAATACACCAGGGCTCAACAGTAGGTTTGGCCCGAGGGCCTGTGAAAGAGTTTCGGCTATGTTGACAGAACTACTTGCTTGCATCCTGCTTATGTTCATAATGATTTGCTGATCATGTGTGAATAGTTGTATGCCTTTGAATGTAAATATTTTATTTCCTCAGTTTTTTTTTTTGTTTTTTTTTTTGGTGAACTGTGCTGATGTTTTAAATAAATAAATATATTAACCATCTGGTGCTGTTCGGTCATTTTTGACCCCAAAAATGACCTTTTTATCTAAATGGTACGAAAATTGTTAAAGGCAAAAAACATCAGCAATAATCTGCCAAATGTTTTCTTTAAAAAGACACCAAATTACACACACGAACGCAAGTCTGCATTCGTGGCCTGACAGAAGGAAAAGCCCTTGACTGTGTTTTGTGCTCTTTACCCAGGTGCATCAAAATCCTGCGAGATGATCATGTGAACCCAAAACACGACATGCGGATTCCACAATTCGGACCAGATGCCAAAATAGCAGTCAGACGATTCCACCCGAGTGCAAAAGCCAAACCAGAGCCGTGAGTTGGTTTTTAAATTGTATAAGTGGTGAGCGTCTCCATAGAAACCAATTTGTGTTTCTGGTCAGAAACAAGTACACCAATATCTTCTGTTGCTCTGATATGTGGGGCAATTACATTTTTATGTCCTGGAATATTAGAAAGGTTGTTAAGCACAGGGGTGGTGAGTGACATAAATCTTCTAGATTACAGGCTTCATGCCAGAGAGAAAGCACTGTGAACCGTGCCAACATGATCCCGAATGTTTGAAGCCTCACACACAGCAAACTTTTCCCACCGGGACCGGCCGCTTTGTTCAGATATCTAAACATTAGCAGAGCCGCTGTGATGTTTGATGTGACACTGATTAAATGTATTTAAAAGGTTCAGTTTATAAAGCACAAGTGATTCAAGAGGCTGTTAAATCCCTTGTAAGAGAGTTTTTTCATATATATCAATCTTGTTTATATAATATAATCTGTAATTGATGGAAGTACCACTTAAACCTGCAGAATTAACTCAAACAAAAGCTTAACAGGGAACGTTCTGCCAAGGTTCTCCCAAAGTTAAACAAACGTTCCTCCAGTAACAATAATATAACGTTCGTTCGCCTTAAATAATGTTCTGAAAAGATAAAAATTTTTTCTCAAAGAACTTGTAAGAGATAATGCAAGGATATAGCTGTGCATTAAACTATTTTATTGCACACCTTCCAGCCAATCAGAATTGAGAATTCAGCCAGACATAATTAACGTTCGCATAGTGTTTGCAAAATGATAAAATGGAATACAGTCGTATTTAAAGGGTCAATGTGTAGGAATTTTTCCCATCTAGCGGTGAAATCCCTTTAAGAATTATTTTTTCAAAACTATTTTTTTTTACATACATTTATTTATTTCAATCATGGTTTGACATTTAAAGCATTTAAATGCTAGATTGATGACTGCTTGTTGGTTAAAAACTCACCCTGCTAAAAATAAAGTAACACACAGCTTAAACCAACCTAATGTGTTTTACGGGTCTCATTTAAGATGCTTTACCTGGTCTCCCAGTCTGAAACCCCCCGCTTAAACCAGCAAAACAGACTGGTTGACCACTTTAGACTAGTTTAAGATGCTTTACCTGGTCTCCCAGTCTGAAAACCCTCACTTAAACCAGTAACACAGACTGGCTGACCACCTTAGACTAGTTTAAGATGCTTTACCTGGTCTCCCAGTCTGAAAACCCTCTCTTAAACCAATAACACAGACTGGCTGACCACCATAGACTAGTTTAAGATGCTTTACCTGGTCTCCCAGTCTTAAACCCCCCGATTAAACCAGCAACACAGACTGGCTGACCACCTTAGACTGGTTTAAGAAGCATTTTTTGTCTTGCAATTAAATACCAGTGTGACGTTCGTTTTTAAGCGTGCACAGTAAGTGGACAGCTCCTAATGTTCTTGACCTAAACTGAAGTTTCTTGTCATCTACAATCAATAATTATCGAATCGTGACATGAGGGTTTGGTTACACTGCTAGCAGTTTATGCATCGGAAAAGCCAGTGATGACTTATTTCCATTTTAATTTATTTTATTTTTAACGTTTATTTTATTTAAAGTTTCAGTTTTTAGTTAAACCCCTGCTCTTCACACACATTCTGCGATGTAAATGTGACTGTACAGGCAATAATCCCGTCTGTTTACGTTCAACGTGCAGGACGGGCCATTATGTAGCAGCTTCTGTGACTTGTCTTTTCCCATAAGTCCCGGGAATCGTTTCTCTGACACAGGTCATGACGGCCAACCCTGTCTCTATGGACCGGTAGCTAATCGTTGGGAATTTTCCGGCAGCCCAGCGCCGAGTGCCAATCCCAGTCAATGGGCTCGTCGAGGAGGAATGCTGTCCTGAGCATTCCAATGGTAATCGCCCCTGAGGTTACGGTTTCAGGGAAGTGACCTGTCGAACAATGGCGCGCAGGTCAATGGATCCCACAGCGCTCTGGCGGAGTGAATTCAGCTCCCAGAATGCTAAGCCGTCGTTGTGCGGTCACGCTCCCCCATTTTGGCTCTAAAGAGAGAGTCCATCCATCTCGCCAACAATCGGTGGTGGTTAGAGGTAACCGATCTTGACACTCTGATGCCTGTGAGAAGCATCTCTGACTTGGTCAACAAAAGCCAAAGCGAGCCCCCCCACCATCCCGAGCCTTAAAGAAACCTCCAGACTCACGGCCAACTCTCATTACTTACCTTTGTCAACAAGGATGCAAAGACCTCGTCTCCGACAAGTCTATCAACGACTTTGAATTCCCTTCACTGGGCATTCTGGGCTTTCTTTCAGGGGCGAGAGAAAAAGACAGACTCCCGCTGCACTCTTTAGAGAATAGACAGAGAAAATGAATGACGGGAATCACAAAGAAGATGCTCCTTATCCGAATGGGAAAAAAACGGGAACTCTGCCAAAAAAAAAGTGGTATTTTTGACTTGATTTCCTATACAAATATCTAAAAAAAAAAAATTTAACAGAGATAAATTTACTTGATATTAACTCTTTCCCACCTGTGGAAAGTTGCCAGCACCAGCATTTTCGATCATTTTCTCCAAACTTTCATCAGAATATTTTGTTGTATGAATGAATATCTGCACATGCAATATATCCAAAAAAAGAGGATTTATTTTAATTTAAATCAAAGATATCTTCATTTGTGTCCCGAAGATGAACAAAAGTCTTACTGGGTTGGAACAACACGAGGACGAGTAATTACTCACAGAATTTTGATTTTGGGGCAAACGATCCCTTTAATATCTTGATTTAAGAACATTTAGATATTTTTTTACTGGAAATAAGACAAAAATTCCAAGTAAGAAGATAGTTGTGTTTTTTTTTGCAGTGTGGTGGTTGTGTTTGCGTTCATGGCAGCACTTAATGCTCTGGCACCTGCAAGTAAACTTTTTGGAATAATCCGTAACACGCTGTTCTTCCAGCGGGATTTGGGTGGCGGCAATCGAGCATCATGTTAGCAGTCATGTTCCTTCTCAGCACTAACCGGGCCAACAGTCACCTCCTTTGCCCTCTTACTAGTGTCATGGAAATGAAAAATCCTTTTTTTTCTTTCTAATCCCAATATGTTTCGGATAAATACATGCCATGTTGGAAAAACATTTGGACCACAGTGTTGGTTTGCGGTTGACGATTGCACCCGGTTTGGTTTTTCACTTATGAGGCGATTCAATCACAGTCAAGCCAAAGGACTAAAGAGAGCACACACAAACACACACACACCTATAACCTAATGACTATTGATGTAAATCATTATCCGACTAAAAATCTTTCAGTAAAATATCTAAACATTCTTAAACCATGATGCATTTGAGCTAAAAAAAATCTATTAAAATTCGACATGCTTGAAATATAGATTTTGCTGTCAGTCTTTTCACTTTTTCAATGAACATTATCAAACAGGCTTAGGATATGTCACTATTGAACATCCTGTGAACTTGAACAGACAAGCAGACTTGATGATGGGATGATGTTACAACTTTTAATATATTCATGAGTCTAGAATAAACCTCCAAAGTTTTCATTTCGCTACCTGCATTTCCTTCCTATCTTACACTTTTATTTGTAATCACAGGATTGGATGGATGAACAGAAGTGAAATTTGACAGCTGGAAGTACACTCTTAAAAATAAAGGTTCTATATTAGCATTGATGGTTCCATTTAAGAACCTTTAACATCCATTGAATCTTTTACAAAAGGTTCTTTATTTTGATGAAACACTTTTTAGAATGTCCACTGAAAGGTTCTTTTTGGGAACCAATAATGGCTGTTCTATTGCGTTGCTGGAAAAAACCCTTTTGCAACCTTTATTTTCAAGAGTGTAACTAAAGTCTACTCACAAAAACCGTTTGACAATTAGGATTAGCGTGTGTTTCTTAAAAGTTGGCTTGAGTTGTTTAAAGGTTTAACTGTACTGGCTGTGCAGAAACTGCTGAACGATGTACACATAAACACGTGTTTTAGACACCGATAGCAAGAAAATACTACTTAAATAGTGCTAAAAGAAACCATTTATTGAGGTGCCCCATTTGACCAACTATGTGGTTATTTGAGAAATGACTTGAGGTGCCAAGCTGCACATCTGCAGAGGAACGCCGCCAGGAACATGATCATTTCAACGCCACTTCGTGCAATGACAATCGAACTGAATAACACTTTCACTTAAAGCCCCACAAAGAGCTGCTCTCTGGGCGGAGGGAGAACAAATCTTGAACGTATTACTGTATTTACTTTCTTTGGCTGAACCCCGGTCGGGTCGGGGAGGCAGTAGTGGCTTTTGCGGACGGGTGTTTATTGTTTGGGCTTTGTTGTTTTTGGGTCTTAATTAATACTATGTTGACGACCTCTGTCACATACACCAGCGAGCAACGATTGAATCTCACGCAATGTGCGGCGAATCCGAAGGCCAGAGCACAGAGATCTACAGTACCACACCGCCGGTTACTGTTTAGACAGACGTGAAAGAGAAAATACACAAAGTAAAGCAGATTCTGTCAGTTCGGGTGCGCTCTTTCTTGACATGCACGCACGTGCAACCGTCTCCTCTCGTCCCCCGGTTAATCGTAACATCAGCCGCAGAAATTTTTGCATCAGCTCTCTTTACACAAATACATAACTTGTTTTATCGTAGTTTTTGTACTAAGTCAAGTCAATGGAGTCAGACAAAAACTACGATAAATCCTGTTGGAAAGTCCAAATTTCAATCTTAACCGTTCTATTTCATCAGAAACGATCTTAAAACAGGGCTTTAAGTGTAAAATACCGAACTAACCCTTTAAAGGAGCAATGTGTGATTTTTAGCGACATCTAGTGGTTCGGTTGCGAGTTTGCACCAGGTTTGCACTAAGGGCTCAGCCCACTGCTCACCCCTCCCTTTCGAAGAAGCTACGGTTGCTAAAACGGGACAAACATCTCGTCGGCTGAGACAGCAGAGAATAGCCAGAGTAAGCCAAGAGTGTGTAACATTGTCACTGTTTCTGTA